ATAACCTTCAAAACGTTCACCAGATTAAAAATAAATGTCATTTTCTTTCCTTCTCGAAACCAAACAATTATTGTCTAACATATTTTCTTATGAAATACTTTGCTTTATGATATTTCCATGTGTCAACTTAAATGTTGCACCCTGTATACAAGATAACATTTTCTTCTATTCGATCGTATTCTACGCAGTTGCTTATATTGAAACATTTCTTTTATTTAGAAGCGAAAAATATATAGGATTCATAAATGTTTAAACAAGTAGTCAATTTTCTTGATCTCTATTTAAGTGAACTGAAATTTAGTATCAGAAAAGTGACCTTTCAATGATCCGAAAAATTTCTTTATCCGAACGTTTATTATGTCTCCCTATCAATTCGGATACGGGAGGCTTTAATATACTAGAAAAGCAAGTACGCTGTTAATAAAGTATCGGTTAGTTGCGAATGTATCAACACTCAACACGCGTGTACAAACCGAGAAACCGTCCGGAAGCAACGTTCCCCGAAACGTTTCAACCTTTCATCTCGACCGAACAATCGTGAGTCTTTTCGTCCATGGAAACTCGTAACAAAAGTCTTCGAAATATCCCAGCGTAGCCTTTGGCGAGAATCTGTATTTACAGAAAAGATTCCACCGGTAGCGTGCGCGCGCGCGAGAGAATTTTCCCGCACGTGATGCAACTTCCGTTGCCCTTACTTTGTCTTTCCCGAGCGTCGAGACAACCTTTGCCTCCCCCAGTCCTGGAATCCACGGAATTTTCCGAGTTAGCACGGAGCTCCCGTGATCTGAAAATCCGGATAGATATTTGACCCGCCCGCTGCTACGGAAAACTCGATGTAATTTCGTCGGCTGTTCCCGCCCCGCCACCCTCAAAAACAACCTCAACCTTCCGCGAAGGTTCTTCCTGTCGACCTCAATCGCACCGCCGATTTCTAATTTATTGGGACCGTTTACAAGAGATTTAAATGTACCTTGAATTCATTTCGATTGCGTTCAATTCACACATATCGTTTCAGGTAAGTTTCATGTCCAGCTTTTTGCTATACAAAAAGATCTTAACATTTGAACTAATAAATTTTGCTTCCTCAGTTAACATAATACTTCTCTAAAAAGAATGCGAAGATGCATTGATTGGAGCTTATGAAAATATACAATTTCATTCGATAAATTTGAGGTGGTCTTGATTTTTTATTTAATAAAATATTTCTTGACAATATTTACAACTGCAGTTTGTAACTAACTAAATACTAACTAACTCTCGTTCGAAATATTTTTTTATTAAGTTAATTATAACTATTCTGATGAATTATACAAGTAAAAAATTAATCTATTTAATTTTAACTGATGTAATTAATTATTATAATAAATTTGAGTTACTGTGTTTAGTTTTAACTACTACAATCAACAATTTCACAGTTAATTATAACTACTACGGTGAAGGCCTGGAATCAGAGTTGTGATTTTGAACGTGCTAATAATGGTTTCAACCATTTTCTCCAATTTGAGCAAACTTGAGCAGTTAAACTTGACATTAATTTAAAGTTTAGTATGTTCTAAATCAATACACAAAAGATCACGGAGGTACATTTTGATACTGTTTTTGAAAGTCTCTCTAAAGTAGATAAACATGTTATTTAAAAAATTAGGACAATTTATTATACGGTTAGAAATAAATTGAATTTAAAAGAGGTATGATTATTCCACAGAAGATCGTATAATAATAAGAATAGTAGAATTTTTATTTAACAGAAATGGATGAAAAAATATTATCTTCGTTCATAGTTTTATATCCTGGATTATATTTACATACTTATAACCATCTCTAAATATTATGACAATTGGAATCTTCCAATTCTATATTTTGTATTATCAATTAAAGCTTTGCATAATTCACTGCAAAACATTTGTGACTCATTGTGTTCCGATAATAGGTACATATTTTGAATGATTGACGTATCCGATAATCGACAATCGGATATAATCGACATTCTACTGTACTATTTCTTTTTCAGACGACAACACAATTTGAAGTCCCCCAAATATATTCGGAAAGACCAATTATTTTTAATTGAAATGAAATCGTTGTGTTAATAGTTATATAATTATAATTAATATCGTAATCTATGCAAAAAAATGTGACCAACCGTTGACACTTCCCGCAAACTCTTTCATATAGTATGTATTTGTTAAAGTAAACGTACAAACATATTGCTTAGAACCAATTAATGTCATCAAGGTACCAAGTTTAAAGTTATTTCTTCATTTTCATCGTTAGAAAAATTATTTCTCGGAAAATGTGTGTCAAAAATTAATATTTTTTTATGCATTCGGTGAAATGTCACAATCGGAGCTAATTAATATCTATTTAACAGTCAGTGTGTATGTCATCATCATTTTGAAATTTTTCTCAATAATACAGAGAAGTCAAATTACTGTTTATACTAAACATCAACTATAGTAATCGTATAATTATTATTTGTATATTAACAGTACGGTTAATGCAGTCCTTTGTCTTCGATTTGTGATTGTTATTAGAAAGATGTGTGTGAATATACTGATTCAGCAAATAATTGTAAACACAGAAAATATGGCAACTACAGAAATTATATAAGGTAGACAGAAAACGCAAATTAAAAAAACTTACAAGCAGTAAAAGATAAACTTAAAAATTGGAACTTAAAGAATAAAACTAACAATACATTTACCGACAAAAATTAAGAAAGCAAACGCTTTTTTATGTACATCGCATCTGTTATTCGTATTTATACATAATTAATTAATATCAATTATACATATTCTTTTTCATTTTTACTGAGTAAATTGTAGAGGTACACTTTGTCCATGTTAATAAAGGGAAATATATTATCCAGTTCTCGCTTAATTGTTTTGTTTCTTAACTTTCGTTGGTACGTGTATATTAATTAGCACTAAGTTTACGGACATTTCTTATACTCCTATCTCTACGGACAGGCGTCAACGAAACAGCACATTTTCTTTAAAAAACAACTTATTTTTTTTTAATACTCAATTTACGATAGCATCAAATTGTCGCGTGTCCGTAGAAATAGGTACACCACATAGAGAATTTCGAGATTAGAAGGCATTACAAATGCGTCAAAATGACGCGTCTCGTAAACCAAGCGTCAATATTTAATCCTTATAATAAAATCTGTCAAACGAGGAAATGCAAGAAAGGATATGGTAGACAGGATGATTCAGGGCGCAGAGAAATTATGTTTCTCGCGGTTTCCACATAGCTGCGTCAGGAAATCAAAAATCCGATGCTGAATTAAAAATTGTTTTCCGTGAAAAGCTAAAGTAAAGACAGCTGAAAGGATAGGCCAACAGACGAACAAGAACAGAACGCTCGTAAAATTCTAGCATGAAAATGGGGGTCTTCAACATCCGGATTACGACTGCAAGACTCAAGAATTTTCCATTTATCGCCTTTCTTGCATGAACGCATAGAAGAATTCGATACGGGAATATGGGTGAATTGGCTGTTCTCCTCTTCTCCTTCCTTTCAATCTATATCTCTCTCCGTTCCACGGTGAATTGGTGGACGGCCTCGGAGGGTGGAATCTCCCTCTGAAGGAAGCTTGAATATCTAATCGACAGTACCTGCTTATTCATGCATGTATATCGGCAGAAAATCGTCGGCACGGGAATGCGTTTCCCTAAGCATTCGTTACCGATTTCTACGGATTTTCCGCAGTGATTTTAACCACCACTTGCGGCGATTGTTCTTTGAAAAGCAATTACAAATATTTATTTCGCTTGGCATATCCAACGTATTCATCAAAATATTTCCATACACTGGTACGTAAAGTAAAGGAGCTTTCCCATAAAGATTTAATTTACATCTGGAAAATGGTATTTAGACAAAAAATTTGCTATAATCACGTTAAAGCTCTCTTGAAACCATGCTATACCCGATAAAAACATTTTCGATAGGACTGCTAATAACAGAGTAATCTCTACTGATCACGATTCGTGGTTCACCCTGTATACATACATCCACAGCACGAACAAAATGTTCCAATAAAAACAGTAAAAAATTTGATACAGAAACTGCAGAATTAATTATTGACTAGTTGTAAAAGAAATACAGTTCAATTTAACTTTTATTTGTTATTGTTTTTACTGTTAAAATATATAATTGTTATTGTAATTTTTGGTCTTTTTACCTACTTGTGAGTTAACATTGTTAAATTACATAATCCAAACCTCATATCAATATCCCCTACGGTTCAAAAATTATGTCAAAATGTCACTGGATTTTTCCTACTGGAAGCCTCTCCCCATTGGCAAAGAAAACTCTCCTTTACCTGTATACAAGCGTTTTCGTTCTGATCAAACCACAGTAACTGTTTCACCCAGTTTCAATAACTCATAATAAATTATGCCTTTGATATCCCTCACCAAGTGCAGAGCAGAACCTTTTTTTCCGAAGTAGCTTTGCGACCGATGATGATGGTTCATAGGATTTATCCATGGCTTTCTGCGTTTACGATTGTCATATTGTATCCATTTCTCATCACCCGTAACGATTTTCCACATAAAAGACTTTCTACGCTGCGTATTAAGAAGAGAAAAATACGCAGTCACTCGTTGATACTTATTGGCTTCAGTGAGAGCATGTGGAACCCATTTTTTCGGATATTTCCTATCTCATGTAGGCGTTCTGAAATGGTTTGTTATATTATCCCCAACTGCTCTGCAAGCTGTTTTTGCGTTTGTCTTGACAATCCTTTGATTTTATTGTCAATTATGTAACTACTTAAGAAAAATTGCATTATTCATTTGTACATCTAGTAATATTTAGCTCAGCGCACATAATATATTTGCAATACAAGCGCAAATAATACATTTTGAATACAATGATATTTCTCTAGTAGCTGGTATTTTAAGATATACTTCTAAAAATTCATAGATTATACAATGTTTATATTATGTACTCTAAAACAATAATTAAAGCTCTATGTTGAATTTTCGTTTCAGGTAAACTAACTCCGGAAATAATGCCAGAGTTTTTAGCTCCTTTAGAGAATCACACGGTGATCCAGGGTCGCGACGTTTTCTTTACCTGCGTCGTTAATCATCTGCAACAATATAAGGTAAATTTAAAAAAAAGATCCTTCCGTTTATATTTAATAAGCCTCTATAACAATACTTAAGTAAATAGCATGAATAAGGAAAGATAAATGTACTTGGAAATATAAAAAGTTTCAGTAAATTGTAAAATATTTTAAACTATATTTTTAACAAAAGTCTGTAACTACGTGTTTAAGGAAAATATTGTGAATGCAGAGAATAGATACCGAGTACAATAATCAGATTTTTACCAGTACTATACATATGTATATTATAGGTGTATAGTGTAATCGAATTATCCGAACCTGATCTGGTTATACAGGGACAGTCGTTTAAATCTATTCAATAGTTCAGAGGTAGCGATTGTTTCTCGCTCAATTCTTACCGAACGGTTCCAAATTTACAAGGTTTTCGCACTTCTGATTTGCTCTCCTTTACAGTTTGAAAAGTGTGACTTAATATACTCTAGCTCTGGGGTCCAGATATAATTGGAATTCTCCTGCACTTCAAAAGTTTAATACAAGTTCATTAAATAATCCAATACATAGGAAATACTTTCATATTAGTTCAATATTCAGTATTCTATTTTTAATTGTAATAAACTCTTCAAAATTTCACATCTGTGTAGACGAATTCTTAATGCAGAGATTGTGACAGTAAAGTTTATGTACTACACACACACAGTCACATCAAATAGTATAAAACAGTTGCAAGAAAAACTTATGTCTTCTTTAGTTTGTTAGACTTTGCCGCTTAACTTAAACGAAAAAGCCTGCATTTTTTACTGCAAGTGAAGCGTTTCCTCTGGGCGAGAATGTAATGAAAGTTTACTCGAGAAAACATTCAAAGGATCAAGAGAACGAATGTTAATTCCAGCATTTCTAGAGCTTACGGAATCGTAAAAACTCGTATTTGATCTCTTATCCTTAGTTTTTTCATTTCGGAAACTGATATGTTTGTAACCATAATGCAAAATTATTAGGTACATAACATCCATTATGTAAGAGGCTATTTTAGTGTATTGAAAGTGTAATTTTTTATGCTTTTTGAGACTTCTTTTACAATAAAACACAAGAGCCGTTGGTACCGGCTTTTTGCACACGAACTTATTTACGTTCTAAGAATATTCACCATCTTTGTTAAAAGAAAATAATAAAATTTGATTGAATTATGAATCATTTAACGCGATCCCTGAAAAAGAAACTGTCCCACTGGTCCATACGATTTAAGATCATAAAAATTCAATGAATTCGACAACGGAAATCAGCATGGAAAAACATATCAAAAATTTAAATAATATTAAATTAATTTTTAATTAAATTATAAACCTATACTTTCAAAAAATACAACAAAAAATCAATTTTTTTTAAACGGCTAGACTAAAATACCTCCTTCATTGCCAAATATTTGTAGAAGTAATGTATGTAGTAGTTTGTCTTAGAATGAAATGGTTACGAAGACTTTGTTAGTAGACATTTTGGTGTTCGTAATTATAACTGTATGAACAGTAGTTTTCACTTGTTCACCGGTATTACACTTTGTACGTTAATCGCAACATTAATTAAAGATAGGGATGCTTGTGACTGCAAGTATATTAATAGTTCACAGTAACAATATCTTTGAAAGTAGAACAATATTTAGCTGGAAAGTACCCAAGTTCCGCGAATACTTTTTAATACTCTTGTACTAGATGAAGTCGATATCTGACCAACAATGTTAGGAACAATTTAATTACGACTTTCAAATATAGAACAGGCACCAGTACCCAATTAGTCGGAGGAATCAAGTTAGAATTACAAGGTATTCATTTGTTGCAAGAAATTGAGTAATACTTATTATTAAAGTAAGATAATAAAGAAAAGAAGTGAATACTACTTAAATTAAATCTATGCTTCAATTTTATAATTCAGAGTTCATATAATTACTGAAGTAACGTATCTTTTTAGATTCGTTATAATAGAGAATTCGTGTAGTTACATACAAATCGAAACAAAGTACTGAATTACGTTCAATCACAGTGATTTAATATGAAATTAAGCACAATATTCCTATATTATAAATAAAAATTCAATAAGCATTTACATGATCGATAAAATTTCAGTGTCGTCTTTACCGATAATTAAACATAAACTATATTATTTTAAATTTTCGGGTAACCTTCTCGAATAGAATTATCCTGTCTTCACGTTCATCATAGTTCTCAATGATATAAATACCAAAGAAGTGATTGTTCATGAAAATATAAGTCGAAAGTGTGAAATACAATTTCTTCGTAAGAGCTCCATTTAAAAAAAAATCATCTCTGAAATTTTGTCTCACAGGACTACATTCATGCTTGGAATAAGTAGAAATAGCTAGTAATGATCAGACCCAGTACCCATTAAAAGCAAAGTTCAATTTGCAATAATTGTGTTCCAGACATTTAGCTCATCTTTTTTATTGTGTTGGCCAATAAATCCATGCAATTTTTTCTAAGTAAATAATACAAAATTTTTTGATATTAAACAACTTTATTTAACAATGTATTTTTGAAATGTGTTGTATTTATTAAAGCACATTCAATTAGCATTTTTTAGGAATTTAAACCTATAATTTACTACGTAATATGTCCACAAACCTAAGTCTACAAAAAAAATCACTACATTCATAAGAAAAAGGACGAACTTATTGGTCAGCCTAATAATATTCCGTGCATCGTTCGCTTCAAATTCACATACCACATCATTTGTACGAATTTCAAATAAACATTTTAGACAAACGTTTTTTAGACTACACGGCACTGAAACATATGAAAAAATGTTTTGGATTTTTTTGCCACCATTACACTGGTTTCACCCCTTAATATTTTTACTATAAAGAATTTGTACAATACCTTAAAGCACATGACGCGACATACAGGAAACTCTCAAACTTGAAATTCTTTTTTAGGTGGCCTGGATAAAGTCAGATTCTCGGGCGATTCTGGCAATTCAGACGCATCTAGTAGCACACAATCCCCGTCTTTCAGTCACGCACAATGGGCACAACACGTGGAAGTTGCACGTGTCGAACGTTCAAAAGAACGACTCAGGTGCCTACATGTGCCAAGTGAACACGGATCCTATGCGAAGTCAGGTGAGCAGAAATTTATTTTTCATGGATCGTTCAACGTCACGTGGAGGAAATATTTCTACCGGGACCTCCTGGATCGTTTTTTAAAACACTGCTCGTAGTAATAATGAAGTTCGTTAACAGTTGTTTAACCCTCATGCACTCTTCGGATAAATTCCACCGAAATTCAGATCTTACTTTTTGAAGCTTGTAAATTAATTTCATACCAGTACTATACACATAAACGATGAAACGATATGCAAATATATTTCCTTAATTCGATTTTAGCTTATGCTAATTTTAAACTCAAGGAATAGTAATGCAATAATTTATTGAACAGTCCACGAGAGGTTGGCGTCAAATTCAACCAACGTTATTACACGTCTAAAACTTGGAAATTTTTAAATAAGTTTCTGACATTAAATTAGTGTTCATAAAATTTTATTTGAATTTCTAGTAAGTCTACACTTTATCAGAAGAATCGCTCACGAGAAAGATTGCAGTTAAAAGCATCGTCCTAAAGTTAGTTTCAGATTCCAAAAATTATAGGAAGTCACTATCAAATTGTTTCTGGTAATACTTAAAATTAAATTAAAATTGTTGAAAATCTACTTGGATGAGTTGTCTGCAGATAGGATCGTCATGGTTTTATAGAAACAATAAACATTTATGTTAATACATTATGTGTCGAAATCAATGTAATACAGTGAATTAATGTTTAAACAAAAATTGACGCAATTCAGTGTTTTCCTGTTTAAAATAAAATTAAAACGCAATTCTTGCACAAAAATTTTGGAAATGAAAGGAATAAATGTTACAAACGTCGTAAGAAACGTTTTGTGCTTTATTTGGAGACATCCTTATGTCAATCCCATTCTGTGGAAAACTGTCAATTTATTAATATAATGTAATTATATAAATCCGCTAAATAATAATAATCTAGCAACTGTGTATCATTATGTATTTCATTAAGTTATTATTAAATTATAATTAAAACTATTATTAAAATAATAGTTAAATAGATAAACTGACAATCTTAATTTTCAATTTCCTTCTGAGTCACCATAATTCATTCTAATGCTGAAACAGCAAATAACTTATACCCGACAACACTATACGGAGAATAAATACATCAGTCTTCGTGATACAAGGTCATATCCGTCTGTTTCTACCGATAGGGGTCGAACCAGGTTCGTCTGAATGCTCGCAGTTGGAGAAAAAGTTTTTGAAACGGTATCAGGAAGAAACTTCTGCAAGATAAATATCCGCAGCAGCGGATGTTTCAGATCAAAGTAAATGGAAAGTTCCTCGCGAACAACTTCGTGATCCGCATCACGTGCACCAAGTGCTAGTCTCGTCGCCAGTTGATTATTCTCAAGGGATTGCATCCCATAGCTTCAATTCACAGCAATTCTGAGTACCGAATTCACTTGAAAGAATTCTAGACAGCTTTATCCATTTAACTCTCTGCGATTTACCTCTAGATCACCTTTTTACAAACTTTCTACGATCTTCACAGTTAACGTCGATTTTTAATCTAATTTCCGCTCAAATGGCATTAACAATTCGATGAAATGCCCAAACAATTGCAACTTTTAACTCCTTTACGCGTTTTCAATCAAACTATTGAGACCATAGAGAAATAATATTTTTCAATTGGTATGTAGATACGTCTATAAAGTTATGCTAACTGTAATTAAGAGAAAAAAAGACATATTTTACTCAATACTACCACAATTAATTCTACTATATATTGCAGAATTCATACCAAGAGTTCTTACCTAGTCTCATTATTTGCATTTGTTATAGTTACAGCATTAGAAGTATAATATTTATTAACATTCGTATCAGTCATTACTATTCGTTACCTCGAATGTATCTGCACCAATGGAAGATTGGTAGAAAATCGTAATACAAAATATACGATCAGGGATTCAAGGATGAAATACTCGTACACTTTAATTAAAGCCATAACACAATTTTATTCCGATTTTATTTTCGAGAATTTTACAATGTTAAGTAAACCGTAACTCTAAACTTGCGGGCAGTAATTCGTAAACGATAATAACGGTAACAAAAAGAATTGATTCTGATAAATTATCCAAGATATTATAAGTACTTACGTATGACACGCGGCACTGAACGAAAACAGCACGTTACTACGACACTACATAATACATATTAGGCTTTGCGGTATCGCTAACCTGCTATAGACACGGTATACTCGTGCATTTATTGTGGACAAAATAGCTTCATCGCATACACGCCTCAGTCTACGAGGTCATGCTCAGCTCATGTAGCACGTTGTTACCTACGTAGTATCAGCCAACCAATATTTTATACCGAAACTATAGTTAGAACGCGTAAACATTGTCTGCACTATGTGATTTCATTAAACTACATCACGTTTTGCCTTTATGAACTAGAAAGTTAATTAGAGAGACATACAGTGTGCAGCCGAAATATTGATACAAATACATACAGTGGGTAAACAAAGTATTCGCGCACCATTTAACACTTTGACTGCCACGTCACCCAAATATGGGTGACACGAACATTGCAAAGAAGCTGAATTATTTAAATATCGATATAAAATTTTTGCGTAAATGTAAGATCGTAGTATAATTTAAAACAGGACCAACAGCCTCTATCAACTACACGCATATATTTCTACGATTTATGACTTAAAAAACGAAATAAAATGTGTCTGTCTACGTACAGCCTTTTTCACTGTGGCATTCAACGTGTTAAGGGGTTATGCCTACCTGCTAGCTCGAAAAAGGACATGTACTTTCGGAACTTATTTTTAAAAAATTTGAAGACTTTTGTAAACATACGTCATTGTATTCGAGAGTGTACATTTTAAAGTGCTTATAACAATTTCTTCAATGCAAAATATGAATAATTAGGGGAAATATCAGCGATCTCCCGGCAGCGTTTTTATTTTAGGCGTTTTGCGGTGACCACTGCAACTTCGAGTTCGTTTATCTAAAATAACAAATCCGAGCAAATTTAGTTAATGTATTAAATTATCTAGTGCCCGATCGTTCATTATCCCGAAAAATTAATTTACGACAAAGTCGCAGCTATTCAAAATCGAAGTATCGATTTTCGCCAAAAAAATCGTTCATTTTTTATCTATAAAATAAAAACGACACAATGAAATACAAAAAGCCACGATCAGGCACTAGATTTTTATGTACAGAATGAGTCCACCATAGCTGAATCAGTTCGATGCAACGGTTCTCGAGATATTTTGGTCACCGATTTTGAAAATGTGGTTTTGAGAAAAACACGTTTAAAGTTTCAAGTCAGGTTTACAACCGAATCAATGCAAATTTTGTATATATAGTTATTCTTAGTATTACGGCTTCATATAGCTTTGTGTATTTACTAACACAACCATAATTCGCGATTTTTATTCGGTACTTTTGACTTAGTTTTTTCATAACGTATCACCTTTTTTCCGATTGTAATACTGTTTATAGGCTGTAATTTTTGTTTACCATTCGTCTGGAAATAATTCACTGAAAATAGGTTACAAATACTGAGACAACTGAAAACATTCCGTATAACCAGAGACGAAAGCTAAATAGTGTATATATTTTATGTTGAAAATATACCAATTTCAAACCAATTTCTTCTGTATTTCCCGCTTATTATTTCATATGGAATCATTTCCTTATAATACCATATGATTCTCTACCCTCTTTTCGTTTCATGACGAAAAATGCTTCCCATTTCGAAAACACGGTTTACAGTGGTAGTTACAGTTCCATAATTGATTACGTAACATTTACAACTGCTTCGGTTACGAACTTGTGAAATGACTTGTACCGAACAATTATAAACTCTTATTTAAATGTATTATATTGCTAATACAGTTCAACTCTGCGGTACAATACTTACGAGGACTAAATTATTTTAAGTCATTGACTGTCTTATCTCGGGAACGACGTACGGATCGTAACATGTTAACTGGATTCCCCAAACTTTGGACCGTTAATTCTATACAAGCTAGGTGTGTATGTGCTTAGGTACGTAAGCAGGATACCGTCCTTAATCCTAGTGTATTTGTGCAAGGTATTACATGACCGCGACCTTGCAATTTCCAGTGCCGTCAGCACACACGTTGGGCTTATCGAAATGAAAATAATTTTTCTTACGGAAAATTGTAATTAATAATCTGGGTATAATCTGCCGTAAACGCAGAATGTTCTTGAAATATCTGTATTCCTGGCAGTGTTACAGGAACCTCTGACGAAATATTTAATGGGAAAATTTTACGTTTCTACCGTACATTCACGAGCAAACTCGGCTTCCACTAGGGGAAGAAATAACGCAGAGAAAGGGTCTCCTACCACTTGGTAAATTTATTTCAGGTAGTGAAATAAATGTTAAATCGAATGTTAATTTGGCATACATTTCACTAATTCCAAATACCAAGTGGTAGGAGGCCTTTCTCTTACGCCACTTTTTCCCCTAGTGGAAGCCGAGTTTGCTCGCGGGTGTACAAATGTGATGGTAATGTAACAAAAGTTATGATTAAAAGCGATTTGGGAAACATTTCAAAGGCATTAAGGATTTTTTTTTAACAGAAAACACTAAAGTCGTAGTTTACAGTACGATCGAGGAAGAAGTGATGCTACGTGTGACAGTAATAAAAAGTGTAGGTCAAAGTTTGTTCCAACGAAGCTCCGCTTACGAGAACGTCTCATTTGAAAATTCTTTGAGTACATGTATTGTCGAATACAATTTTGCTTTAACGTTAACTGTAAATAGCACGGTAATAAAAATAAATGATTCTGGTATATAAAAATATTTACATAGAATATTCATGTTGTTAAAGAATCCTTATGAGGGGGTATTAGAATCGTTTAGTTAAAAATCTAATTCATTGAAATTCGTAAAGTTATAAGTACTTGTACAATCTTTCTAACAAGAGAACATCTCCAGAGCGAACATCTTTTTTCGTTCATGCTTGCATGAATTTGTAGGGAATTAAGAACAACTGGGCCGGTATTTTGTGTTTTTCTTATAAAATGATTTGAAGGGGTGAAACAGCCCCTCAAAGTTCGCCGCTCGAAACATACTTTTTACGATTACATGTAAACTAATCGTCATGTCGAAAAATGTTTGAAACGAAAGTTGCTCAGTTTTTAATATTCAATTATACGGATGCATAAAAAATCTGTTATCTGCGATTTTAGAAGAAACATCCCCTCCAAAAGTGCTTTAATTTCCTTCAAGTTACTGGAATATCATTATAATCATATTATTATATTATATAATTATATTATAATTATATTGCAACTAAACAATTCCTAAAGTGGGAGATCTTTAGTACACCTCAATAATATATTTCGTTTCAAACATTTTTCGATACGACGATTAGTTTACAGAGGGGCTGTTTCACCCCTTCAAACTGTTTTTTTATGAATAACAAAACACTTCGTGTTCAGTAGTTTCTAATTCTCTACAAATATATGTCAGTTTGAACAAAAACAAATTTTTGCTCGAGGGTGTTCCCTTGTTAGTTATGATTACGCGACTATTGGAATGTTATGAAACACCACTTAATTTCAAAATTAAAATAGTGTCACCACTTTTAATTCTGAAATTGAAATAGTAACCAAGGCTTCGAGAAACGTAAGTCGCCAAATACAAATGGAATGATGAAAATTCTGACGTATTTTTCTCGTTTCTTAATTCTGTTGTGCAACTTGCGTTCTTTTTAAGTGTAAAAAGAACTCTTACAAATGATCCGCTTGGTGTCTCTGCTCATACAATTGTCACCGTGAAATTGTGATGTTCGCGTCGTATTCAGATGCACACCGATTATTAAAATCGGGTGTCTGTATTATACACGGCACATGTATTTACACCAGCGATGATAATTTTCCGCTCTAGAACGAAACACTCGCAACCCTTTGCACTTTCCGGCCAGTTCTCGCGTAATGTAGTTTCTACGCAGTTACTCTACATAATTAGTTGAGACGAAAGTACCCCCGAGCTCTTGCCCCGTGGAAAAGGAAAATGACTTAGGAGTAAAGGTATCGACACTTATTCTGGATAAATTTTATCTACAGCTTTGTATAATAGAATCTTGCAAATGAAATTATCCGAATGAAATTCTTGTAAAATAAAACTAAACGTAAAACTATTCGAGATTAAAATCGAAATAGATGTCCCTGTTATGGTAAGAGAAGTTCAATAACGCCAATTTAAAAATATGTTGAATAATTAATATTATGTGTATTTGCAGGTAATAGCTGTTTTCCGTAGCATAAATAGTTTACCCATTTTTTACAATTTTCTGTTATTTTTCTAGCAAAACTTGAATTTCCCGCCAATAAAGCAAATAAAATTGGAATAGGAACTTATATGCAATATTATGTACTGTTGCAACTTCTAATGAAATACCTAATACAGTTATATAACGTATAGGTACTACGTTTTATTAAACTTAAATATACATACTACCAAATAATTTAATTAAACAAAAGATGATATTTAATTTTAGAAGATAATATTTACTAATTTACAACATTAGGAACCGATTATGACACGTATATTGCATGTGAACTTTAATATGACGTTAATTTGAAATATTGTCAGTAATAAATAATTTTATATAAAAAATTATGAACAATAATGGCATAAGATGACGAATTAATTAACCCTTTGATTCCTAAAATATTTCAAAATTACCAAAGGAATATTTTGTTGTATTTTTGTACATATTACATAATATATAAATGATTCACAAGGACATTTTAACATTTTGAAACCGTCTAGTGCCATTTTTCATCCGTTGCCATTTGACAACTTTTCTTACTTTTATCACAGTTATATATAATAATTACTAGTATGTGGACGTATATACTCTAATAGTTGTTACTCAGCTTTCAATACTCTTTCCAATTGCATGATAAAATTTTTCACGTTACAATAACAACACTCAGGGTGACCTTCATATCTCGATAAAAAAAGCAAAATACTAGTTATTATATTGTGTGCTTCCGTTGATACCATACAACTTTTGTTTGAAACATTTTTTCATATAAACAACAGTTTTCAAATAATTTAGGTGGCAGTGTTAGTTCAATCACCCTGTATACTAACTATTTAAAAAACTTATAAAGTGACTACTTCCTTTATGCTCTTCACTTGTCTCATTGTTACTAGACGCGTGTTGCATTATTTAATTAAAGATGTAATTAATAATCTAAAGCACATTGTAATAATTTCGATCAATATTTTCGTTGGATGAATTGCCGTATTGATCTTAACAAATTGTATTAATTGTGTTTTCAGAAAGGATACATGCAAGTGTTGATACCTCCAGACATTGTTGACGATGAGTCAGCTAAGGGGATGGGGGCCTATGAAGGTGGTAATATAAGGTTAAGATGCGTTGCGACCGGATCGCCACAGCCAACAGTGACATGGAAGCGGGAAGATGGCCAAAAAATTATCATTAAAAAAGACGGACAGAAAATCTGTAAGTTTTCTGAATTCAAACTATCAACAAGGGTATATCAAATAATTCCTGGAAAACTTGTTAAAATTAAAGTCAAACAATTTCAAAATATACAAGTTTTGACTTGAAAAAAATGTTCTGAGAATTATTTAATATATCGTATCTATATGCCTTTACAGTAAGTAATCATATTATTAGAGTACTAAGTAATAGTCATACTATTATTTACTTTTGACAGTTTCATCATCTGCCATCAATAGAAAATATTGTACGTGCCGCTAGTTTTAAAACGGGACTCAAATATTCGATACTTTTGTAACTTTTACCTCTAACAGTCACCAAATTTCGGAACCGTTACAAATACTACTTTGAAAGTAATCTAATTCATAGTATATATATAGCGAAACAATGAATTTTGCAGCAATCTACTGCTTGGCACGTTAAATAACACATTTAACGTCCTATATTAATTACAGTTATGACACGACAATGTTTACACTTTATGCTGGTGGTGGAGAATCATGGTAGTTGTTACACTACTGTTTCAGAATTAGCCTGCATATACAGTTATACATATACCGGTGACATACATCCATTTCCCTTGCAAGATGACCCATAGCAGATGTACAGAACTAGGAGAATAGATACAACTCGTACATAGAAACGGAGCTTCAGGTTCAGAGAATTTCCGTATCTTATTGTTGCCGAGCAGAATTGTGTCTTAAATGCAGCGAACTGTGCACTGATGATCTATCTCGTACGATAAATGAATACGCAATTGTCTTCGCACCAACTTTGTCGACTATAAGAACGAAATTGGATAGTTAATTATCACCTTAGAACCAGAACAAGGTATATTTATAGGTATATTATAATTATGCCCGTAATATTACACGCGAAAATTAAGAAATCAAAAACAGCAACATACAAGGTCGGTCAAAAAGTTCAGGGATTTTATGTATAAATCATTTATTTTTAGTCTTAACAATAATTACATAGGATCACTTTCAATGTAATCTCCTTCTGCCTTTTTACACCTGGGAACTTCAGTGCATACAACTTGCCTGAACTATTACTTCTTCATTGGCGAGAATGAAGCATCTTGTTTATACACAAATATTGTGTTTAATTTACATTTTAAATTTATTTGAAAACTAGAAGAGAAAAAAACAAAAATTTGCTGCCGAGAAAGTTGCAAAAAGTGTTAAAAAGGATCAAAAACAAAAAAAGAAATAATTTTTATTTTGTTTAATTTTAAAATATATATTTTCTATGAAACGTTTATAATTAACCAAAGTTAAATCCACTTTGTTTTTAATGCACAATTTCCTAAATGCATAAAGATAAATGTTTAAAAGTTTTTACCAAATATATAACATGTACATAATAATAGAATATAATTTTCCCTTAGTGTTATTTATTTATTAATTTATAATGTATACATTTATAGATTTAGTTCATAATTTTTATTATTGTATCTATTTATAATTTTGTTCCTTTTATTTATCGCATTAAATTAAATTTGTTACGTTTTTATTTGAATTTTCACAACATAGAAGAAAAGTATCATGTTTCACTATTAAAAATCAGTTATGAATAATTTATTGTATGTTATGTCCAAACACTGGGACAGTTAAATTTAATCACTAGGACATGCAGTAAATTCCGTCCAATCACTCGGCAAAATGAACGCTTTTAGATATTCATAAATTTTAATACTTTTATTCACGTGTACGCTATCTCATAACAACTTGTCTGGAAGAAAAAGTTCCGCTCTATCGATTGAATGTAATTATTTGCAAATCTATATTATTTTAATATATATAAAAAGTCTTCGTAACCGCAATCTTCGCCTGAAACGTCCAACCACTGGGACATTTACCTTACTGGTATGACCTGAATTTCGGAAGTCGAGGAGCAAAGCAATCGTTGCATGCTGCTTAAAAAACTTATACATCCAGAAAAGTAGTCGATTTTCCAAAACAACCTGTTGCGTTACTAAAATAGAGATCGACCATCTCTACTCGATGCATACATTGGTTGCAAGTTGCGATGAAATTAACAAGGATCGAATCCAAAACCTTCGTTCCAAGGTAGAGTTAGAACAGGGGAATATAAATAGCCCGATTTAATCCTCAGATTTTGTTCGCTCGTGGAGAAATTCCACGATTCGCGGTAGAAAAAGTCTACGGAAAAGAAACATTATCTAAAAGTTTGATGGAGGAAGAAGCCGGTCGGTTCAGTTAAGAAAGGATTCGCAGGGCTTAACGGTGTGAATAAAGATGTCTGCTGGAGCAAATCACAAGGGAAAACGAGAGGGAATTGCTCTGGAAAACTGGTAAACCCCTCGCTCGAACCCGTGGATATTCATTCTGCGTCGTTGAGCGGATTTACGTTCAAAATGGAGCCTAATTAAAATCATAAACCATGAAATACGAGTTTACTTTGGAGACGGCGGATCCGGTTCGATAATTTCGTCGATAGCCTCATTAAACCTGGCCAGGCCTCTTAGCGGGCGTCGCGCCGAGGAAAAAGTATTATTGCGCAAGGTATCGCGGTCCGCGTCAATGCGGAATAATCGATTGTCTCGCGGCTCATTGTCGTTAATTAATTACCTTGTGGACAGCAATTTACATTTCAATGTGTGCGCGGAACATTTTACGGTCGCGTTTTATTGCCGAATACGTGTCCAGCATATGGGCTCTGTACAGGGTGACACAAAGGTAGTCATCAGAAAGTTTACAGACGAATATTACACGTGAAACACCAGCAACCATATATTTTAATCGCTATTGAATCGTAGAATTGTTGTTCCTCAAATATGAACGACTTTAAATTTGAATACGGTTCAACATATGCGATGTTAACCTCTTCAAGTTAACCAAATTTTGCGATAAAATGAATAAGCTATGACTCTTTTTGAATTTAAATATTTAGACTATTTTTAATAATGAGGAATGAAACACTAAATTATTCTGGGCTTTCAGAGATTGAAATTGAAATAGATATTTAATTAAAGGCGTAAGTGCTGATACAATTAAAAATGTGGTGATTCTATGTGAAAATAAGTCGAAAATATTAAATAAACTTTTATTGTGACTTGCTTTATTTTCGAAATAGTTTATTGGGTTGATGCATACATGTAAATGATGGGAATTCTGAAAGTGATAAAAAGTAATCATATTGTTTGAATGATATTACAGGGTATATAATAGAAAATGCATGGTTGATTAAATAAATTGTTTTCATTATATAGAAATTCCTATTATTTTTGCATCAACGCAATAGTTTCAATTTTAATCCAGTACGTATGCACTGAACTCCAGTTTTAATCACTCCCGAGATATAATGACGCAAGGAAAATGATTATCGCCGAATGTAGGCGAAGACGCGTTAGAAACAAAAAATTTATGATCAGAAAGTTACGAACATGAATTTTATAGGACTGATTTTTTCTTACTTCGCAGTTGTAACACGCGCCTAAAAACGAACGTTAATTTTGACTCCACCTGTATAGGCAGACTATATTCTATAGCCAGATCTCCGGTAAATTATACATCGGATTTTCGCTGTCAAACTGAACAAAATTTATGGCATCCAAACACATTTTACGACTTTTTATATATTTTTGGTTGCGACGGAACGTTTAAAAAAATTGTCCCAATAGTTGATATCGCCCATTTTATATTATGAATTTTATAAATTTACTAAACATGCTCTGTCTTAAAAGTTTCCGAGCTGAAATTCAAGCAGCAGTTTTCCGTAAAATAATAGTACCGACTCGTTATTATTGAATATAAAAATAGTTTTCTTATGCACTGTTCACAATAATTATAGTAATTCTGGAAATGGCTCTGATAAATCTTCAAAATGATGGAAAGGACAACGGTCGAAACTTGTGGCTTCATGCGTCATGGCTAGACTGCGGATTTTTATGCAAATATAGATTTTTATTGTCTATTTTACAAAAACTGGCATCAGACAGAAATTCCTTTACTTTACTATGGATAATACTAGATGAGAAATAAAACAAATACATCGTCAAAGTTCATTAAATATTTTTGTATCCGAAGATTTAAACAATCATATTCGCCATAAATGCGTAAAATCCGCAGTCTAGTCATGACTTTATACAACATTTTGATCCGAAAATATATCTCACAGCTTGATTATCCGCCGTATCCGTTTAATTATAGAAAATTTTTAATGAAAAATGGTTTTTTTCAGCTCTGAAAACGTTCGAGGGTGAGATTCTAGAATTGACTGGGGTCCTTAGGCAGGAGATGGGCACGTATCTTTGCATAGCCACCAACAATGTGCCTCCGACGGTCAGCAAACGTTATTCCGTCGACGTCAACTGTACGTATCACTTGTCACGTAGCTACCGTATGCAGCCAGTCACTATACCTGTTAATTAGCAGTAGCCATTCTTGCGTCCACGCAAGCTTACTAAACATACAGGAATCAAGTTAATTCACCGTGTTTGAAAGTGCATGAAATGGTCGTTTAAACGGGTTATTTGGTTAAACAACACGTAAAAGATTCCACATTCTATCGTCTACCTGCAAACAATCCCCATAATATTTACGCAGTACTCTTTATTTGATTTTTTCGCTTTATATACCATACAAATGTGCAGAAATGTGTCTGATTACATTGCACTAAATTTTTAGTTATCGACAATAAAAAAAAACTTTGTATTTAGTGCATGGTTTTCACAAGAATTTAAGCATGATTTTTAAATTCTCATGCTATTAATAGTAACTTAACTGTATTTGTTTACACAATATACAGGAAGAGTGTATACTAAGTGCTCCGAAGTAAATATTAAAGTGGTCTTAACTGTTCACTGAGAGCTCCAATCTGATTTCGTCAATCGTTGGACTTCTGATTTTTATCTGTGGGTGCGTCTATACTGATTGACTGTTTGCTTACGAGTATCTGTCTCCGAAAAATATGTTCGAATATTTACTGGGTCCGTGCATCCCCTCCATGTGCCCTTGATGCGATGTTGAAAAATTGTTTGTTGCAATAAGTACAGAATACCTTTTGTTTCTGGGAAATTATCGATAACAATGTAATCCGGGAGACTGCAGACGTCAAGAAAAATCATAGGGCAAGTGGTTAATATAACTTTGTAACGGTGCGAGATAGAACAAAACTTTAAATGTAGAAATTGTTCAGTTTTTTATGGTCTATTATACTACCAACAGAACAATTTTCTATGACGCGTCACTCATAAATAAATTGATTTTTTTTACACATAAATTCTGAACTGTAAGGAATGGAGACAATCATTGTATGCAAAAAGTATATTTAACCCCTTAAAGAGTGCTCTTTTTGAAAAAATCGTCGAAAAAAGTCACTTGCTTTATTTGTGGATATTATTATTTGAACATATTTTTGGAGAATACTTATACATAGGACAAACACATTTTTTAATCAAAGACACTAATTTTACTTCTTCAAGTAATATACGCAAAGACGATAGTAACAGTAGCAATACTGTCAACACGATATGTTGGTAACAAGTCGATACTCGAAATTGAAACAAGAAACGTTAATCGTGTCCGCGTATCTTCCTATTCATACTAATTGCGGCGATGTTTGTATTCCCGTGTATACGGCCGCTTTAATTGCAAACCGACAATATCCGTAAAGCAGCCGTGAAACGGGACATTAAATACTGAAGTTTATTTAACACGACAGATAGGAATGTTCAAAGCAACGAAATTACGTGCATTTTTCATGGAATTAATTCAGGCGAACGGATAATTGTTACTCCCGAGAAACTATATTAAACCTCGTAATATTTGCGCAGTATGATTCTATCAGTGATAAAGTTAAACACAGTGAAATCTGATTAGCGAAGTGAACTTGAACATTTATTACTTTTATTGGAATAGCTGGAGGGTGTTTTCCTTTATAAAAATTTCTTTTACTGACAAAGAAGGTTTCTCGACCCACAGGCTCTCGATTTTAACGAAACCTTGTGGGATTGTAAAGGGCATCGTATTACACAAGGAACCATTTTTTTATCGGTCGACTCTCGCGTTAAAGGGGTGCAACCACCCCTTAAAGTTTGCACAATTTTTCGTTTGTTTTCCGTATATCTTGTGAACCGTAAGAGATGGGAAGAAACTTTTAATGGGCGAGTGTCATGGTTTTTTTATGTACAATAATATGATGCTAAAAAATTGTCTAAAATACCATTTGTTTATAACAAACAAATTTTTTATAGCTTTATTTTATAACTTATTCAAACTTACATAATAACGAAAAGTGACGAGCATTTCATTCCAAATGCATTGGTATATATATTTATGAAACTGCCCCCTACAATTCCGCAGATTTTTATTGTTTATATCCTGTGCGCTCACTCATTGACAAGAAAGGTTTCCGAAACCACAGATTCTAATTCTAATGAAATTTTGTGGGTCTGTAAAGGGCATCGAATTTATGCAAGTAACATTTTTTTTCTGCTGACATTCTCTCTCAGACGGTTAAATCGCCCTTTAAAGTGTGCCGAATTTTTTGTTTCGTCAGTATACCTTGTAAACCGTAAGAGATTGGAAGAAATTTTTGATTGAAAAAAATCAATATTTAATTATTTGCTTATTTTAATAACTTAATTTACTCGTTTATATATATATATATATATATATATATAAGCGTAATAATTTATCTAAAATTCGATGGAAGTTGAATTATCTATGAAATTAGAGGGATACAAAATTTCGTCGAAATCTCTGGAAATTTCAGAGCGTGAGAAGGTGTCTAAAAGTTCCACTGCTTACGGTTTCATAGTAAGTCAGCTTGCATGGTACATACAGATGTGCAATCCAGGAACTCTGTACACTTCCTTACTTCGAGAAAGTCAGTCCGCAATCCTCTCAGTCACATCCATTCGAAGTCTGGCATGCCCGTAAAGTTACGATACGTCGATTGGTATTAAGGAGAAGGAAGACATTTGGGATCCTGCAAACCTTAATTAGAATTTCGATGCACCTTAAGGTTTTAACGTGTAAACTGTAATTAATTTAGAAAAGATATACTTATGCAGAATCGAATTTTCAGAAATATTTTCTCTTCTGTTCTTGTATTCCATGAATGCATAAAACACGCACAGTCTAATAATCAGAAGCCCATTACAAAAAGTTAAATGACACTTACATACTATAGTTACTTTTATACATTAATTCATGCATTTTTCTCTAATCGTTATAGTTTTGAAAATAATCAATTAATTATAGTTTTGGAAACAGTCGATTATAATTGCCATTAATTAAACGACACAGATATGAGTTTTTGAGCAAAAACAGATTGAAAATATGAAATTAAATTTTTATCTATGAAATTTTGTTGAAGTACTGTTTTCATGTCTCTGCACACAACCGATTATTTCTGTTTGCGCTAATGTTTATAAATTTCAGCTATGGTACAGTATTTTGGGGTATAAAATTATCGTAAGATAATATCATGGAATACGATATATGTAATAATACAATAAAAATACATAGGAATACTGTAACACAGCTACCATTTGTATTCTAGGTCTCGCGTGCGCGACAAATTTTCAAATTCTATTTTCTTGACTATGAAACCTTCGTATGAAAAAATTTGTTTCCCATTTTTCATTTGTCGTAGAGCATAAAATAGCTTTATCCTCGTTTAAACTATTAATTACTGTATAGAATTACTGAAATAAAAAATAAGAGGGGGGGGGGGATAATAAGGGAAAGTATGTTATGTTGTAAATAAAATTGGAAAGACGATCTTCAAACTTTTTTCTGACTATTCGCAGTGTATTTTCAATTACAATACTTGTTGGAATTTTTTAGACAAAAATACATAGGGTGCAGCAAAATTTGTAATACCAACGAAGTGGAAACGATTCTACATATATGTATTGTAAAAAGAAATCTAAAATTTATAATACACTTTATTCGTATGGAGCGTTGTTTTTAAGGTTCTTGATATTATAAGTTTATTTTATAAAACTCATAACATAACATTTTAACGATACAATTTTCTTGCGTGACGTGAATTAATATCGAACAATAAATATTATTAAACTACAAAAGTATTAAAGTAATAATGAATTTTAAAACAGAAATTACACATAAAAATTCAAATGAACCAGCTTCTCTCTATCTAAATACGTATAACATTTTATACAAAATTTGTTTTTGCGACAGTTACAAGTACTTCAAGCAATAAATAGTAATGCTTTAACAATTATTATAAATATGCAGAATAATAAGAACTTTAATTGTTTAATATCCTAATATTAATACACATCATTACACCAAATTATCAATATACTTCATGGCTAATTATTAGCGATTAATCTTTGTATCAAATGTTTGAAAACGACAGAAGTAGAAATTAAAATGAAACCGTTCGATAATGGCGGTGCGATGTATTCGTTGTTCAGGAATCTAATGGCACGGTAAAGTAATTGTAACACACACAACGTATAGCCCGTTCCCTAATCCTGGAATCATAGTATTGCATCGACATCCCCATGTTTACATAGCTTTAATTACTCACTCTGTGTCGCTCTCGCTTTCTCGTTACGCGTTGTAATGCCATCGGTTGTAGATCGAGCACACCAAGTCGTTCTATGCAAACAATGTACTCGCTATGAAGTCGGTATCTAACAATAAGTTGATGAGCTAACGAGAATTATTTTTGGTTTATTTCTGTAACTATTCTATAAACTTTGAATGTACGAAAATTTGGATCGGTACATTCTGTATAACAAAATGATGCGTATGTGCAACCTTGAACAATTTTTTTGTGAAAAACGTAAATATAATATTTTATAGATTATTTTGCCAAAATGTAAAAAATGTATAATCGTGGACACCATATTATAGAAGCCAACTGCATCAGAAAGATAACCCAAAAAATTTCCATGATTAAGAAAAAATTAGTTTATCATAGTTCTATAAATACTTCAATTTATTCAAAGTTCAATACGTCGCAAGGTCTGATTGTAAATGGAAGAAGAAATAATGACGAAAAAAATATTAAGCAAAAAACAGAGTTCAATAATGTAAATTCATTGATAAAAATTACGAGTGAAATGTTGCATTAACGCAACGTTGGGTCCTACCGGTTTAAAATGAATCAAATATGAAGCAGGGCTCAAAAGCTACGACAAATATTGGCATACGTTGCTACGGCAACCATAACTGCTTATCTGACACGTTTAACATCGTTCTTCATTCCGCATTCGCGCTTGTGAACTTCGGTTCAACATGCATAGCGTTAAGTAAACAAATAACAACCTCGATTTCGGAAGACATGAAAACATTGAAATTTTCGACGAGATTACAAGTACAACTTAATAATGAGATATTAACGGATTTCATAAGATTTCTAAAGAAACGGAAAATTTATCTAATCTTGAGATAACCAATACATTTTTTGTTTGTTACGAGAAACTAAACATCTAGATGTCTTTGTTGGGGTTCAAGATAGAACAATACAGCCAAGATAAAATTTGTACTGTTCAACGGGGAAAATGTGGTGGTATAAACAAACCCTTTTCAATACTGTGCTTTAAAAAACCGTTATAATACTATGTCATACCTGGATCAGTTCCCGAATTACACGAACAGCTCCAGACCTGTTGTGACTCCGGCACCGTCCCCGGAGGGCTAAATGAAATGAACGATTTTGTGAAAGGGTTTGAATTAATACATTATCAGTCCTGTTATTTTTCATACATACCGTGTATATGTTGACTAACGCTAGGGGATGATTAAGGTATCATGTGTTGCTGAGAAGATGTTCGGCGGGACTTCTTACAGGTCGATGGTTAACATTCTAAAACGCTTCGGCATTACTTTGAAGTTCATCGGACCGCTCGCGTTATCGCTTTATCCTCCTCGGTCTGGATGTGTCCCGTTCGTTATTTTCATTACGCGATGCTATGTACACACAATATAATCTGATTGTGTATGTACCGTTTCGGCCAAAAATGAAAACACGTGTACTACAATTGTGTCCGAGAAGGTGGACCTATGGGGATACAGTACGATCCTTTCGCTGCAGCACTGGAAAGACATGGCTGCCTGCTTTGTCGTTCAAGAACCGCTAGCTATCCCTGTTGAGCAATCTAGGGTAATGTTTCCATTGTTAATACAACAGTTTAACAGTGACAACAAAGGCGTATATGTTTTCAAATACAAATAGTATACATCTATTCTGCATTATCACACATAAGTGAGTAATATTTATCAAAAAAGGAATTGAAAGACAAATTTTTATTTTACGTATTCTTATAATAAACAAAGATTTCCTATCGTATATTCAGCCATAAAGTTTTATGTAAGATAGAAAATTCACCAAAAATATTCGATCTTACATTCATTCTTATAACTAGAGAAATTAATTTTAAGTTCGCAGCCATCAGCTCGGTATTGCCTTCAGTTTACAATACTTTACCGAAGATAATACCAATTGCCCGGGTCTCACCACGTGGAGGTTGCTGCGAGTGGAGTCCCAAAGAAAGCTAGATGGAACCCAATCCCATCTATGTAACCGTAATTACATCGATGGAATCATTAGTTTCATCTACCTCCCTTTTAACAAGGTCTTACAAATAACTTAAAAGTAACTTAAATTTAGACGCTTTAATGTTGATTTCCCTCGGCGGATGGCTTCTTTCTTGAGTCTACCTGAAAATAAAATGAAGATCTCTAGTCATACGATTAACTTAACTTAACTTACAACTACCGCATTTAGCTGTATACCAAGCAATTATTAGAAACAAAAAGTGTGCATATTCTCTGGAGGAGAATATGTCTCAGAGAGTCGATGCTCTTGGAGGGAGAGCACCGATTCTCTCTGATGCAAATGGCGAGCATCGCCAGGTGACTCAAACCGATGCATACCGTGCGTGAAGCCCCTAGGGCCGGCCCCGTCCTCAGCAGTCTACAATTAATTATATTCAAATGAGTCCCGCTATTTACAATAGAAACTTCTAAACTGTTTTAACTTTTGAATTTTTTACATCTAAAAAGTAGCATCGAAAATGTCATTACTATGAAGAGAATACGTAAATCATAACGATTCTTGCGAAATGTACCACTATCAATTATGTTTTCGTCTCGCCCAATATTAACTGTTAGATAAAGCATCATGAAATTACCTTTTCAAGTTGGTGATTTATCCACGTCGTTACCGACAGGTAAATATTTGATCAGCCTGGCAAGTGCAGTGATTTAACTAGTTGGAAAATCTAGTGTTTTAACCATGATACAGCGCTTCCTGTTTCATCGATCATCTGAAATATACACTCTTCTCCATTTTACACTGAAATTGTAATTACTTCTATTATCTTTATTAATGTAAAAGGTAATTAAACAAGAAATGCTTATTTATAGGACAAAGTTTTTAATAACACAAAACAGAGATTGAAAACACCAATAAGATTCTTTATTAGTATGTATGTGACTATGGTTTGAGCCAGCATGAAAAAAGTTATCGAAATTTCACAAAATAACGAAAATAGGTCATTTTTGGTAATGCTGGATACTACGATAAGGCCACATCTACCTAAGATGTACACCAACTGTGAAGTCAATCGGTCAATTAGATTTTGCGATATCGTATTAGTCGTTACAAAAAATTCAGTTTCGAGTCGAAAGGAATTCAAAGCATTGTAATACGCTGCGGGCTGTACGCCGTCTTCTTTAAAGTATCTACAACTTCGTTAATTTTACCATTCGGGCAAATCCTTTCGAAAACACACTTTCGAAAACCTGTACTTTAAAACAATGCAACCAAATAAATCGATTTTCAGAAATGTTTAAATCAGAATACCCTCTTAAGGATTGTAAACTCGATGGAAATTCTTATGTAATATATACAACTATGATTATCATCTAAATCAAAATAAAACATAAGAAAAAAGAATACGAGATTAAAATAAACATACTATGTTAAAATGAATCTATTTTTTTTTTGTTTCAGTTCGACCAACTATAAAGGTGACGAACCTAGTGCTTGCACCAGTTGACAGCAACGTCGTTCTGCAGTGTCACGTTGAAGCTTCGCCGCATGTGATGAATACATGGTACAGAAATACAGGTAATTGTATAATTGAATTCAGCACATCTTTCAAAAATCGATCACATCAATGAATCTTATTCTTCGATTTTTAATCTCCGAATGTATAGAGATTAAATGACTATAAATTCAAGATTCCGTATAGTTCACTTGTTAAACTCGTATAGTTGCTTTTTAAATAAAAATTAAACGTTAAATAAATATTATTAGGTGTTACGGTATGAATTTACCGATATTCGAAAAGTTATCGGTCAACCACATTTAATAAATTTAATATAACCAACACTGTCTGTTCTAAATAGTTGAAGTGATAATACTATTATAATGCTCTTCTTTCTTTGGTCATTAAATTCCTTTTATAATTGTTAAACAATTCTACCATAGGAAACTAAAAAAAAAATTCTGAGTACCTACTTCTTTCGTATGAATCTGAAATGAGTAATAGCAAAATGAACTAAATTGAGTTATCACCATATCTGCTACACCCACTAGGTCTTTACACGACACAGTACATATGCGCATACCACGTTTCGTTGAAAAAAATCTGATCTGGAGCTCTGTTTGAGAAATCCAATATTTCCTAACCAAGAAACAGTAATTTCTAGCACTGCAAGAATTAAAACAATCTGAACATATGATTTATTACAAAAATAGAATATATCCGTTAATACTTTTATAGAAGTGGACTTTTATTATATATCGAAGAAAAGTTATTGTTTTACAACTACTAATACATTAGAAAATAATTAAGGGGACTAGACAGTTGTTTTTCGTGAAGAAAACTTTCCTTTTTATTTATTAATAAAAAATGAAAACAGATCCAGATGCATTCTTTTACCTAATGTTTATTAGTATCATACAGATTTAGAAAAATTATTATGAAATATATATGTGCTTTGAAAATGGTAGTGTAGACTGGTAAACAATTTAACTTTTTTGTGTGGTTGTGCCTAAATATCGGTCTTGAAATGGGACATACTCCAATTTCACAAGTGTGATTTTCATTTCTCAGATCTGTAGTTTCCAGCGGAACCTATAAAAACAAAAATTACAACAAAATTATTAAGTCGGTCGCCAAAAGCCGCGATTTTTTTGGAAAAATTTCGTTCTTATTTGTGCGCTGTTAAAAAACCATGACTTTGCAATTTTTCTTGAGAAAATCTCGAATTTTTATAAACTATATGTTTTACACATCCTGTAATTTGTTCAAGTCGATCTAAACCTCCGTTCGTTCACGATTAAGAAAAAACCAAGAGAAAAACCTTAAAATCTTTTCCAGTCTGCACCGCCATTTTTAAAACACATATACATATTTCATACCAACGTTTTCTCAATCTGTATGATAGTAATAAACATTAGGTAAATAGATACATCTGGATTTGCTTCCCTTTTTTTAAATAAAAAGGAAATTTCTTTTCACGAAAAACGACTGTCTAGTGACAATAGCAGAAATTAAACCTTGAACTGGTCAAATAAAAGACAAGCTTCGATATCGTAAGTCCTAATGATTGATTCGCGGAAGGGTTATTTTTCTTTCTCGTTCAAACGTCAGTCGAATTCGAGTCAACATTGTCAAAAGAGTTCCCGGAATTCCACTGTATTGCAATCAATTCAATGAGTATTAGTTTCTGGCGGTGTGCCGGTCAGTTTTCCGAAAGTCGACGCTGACCGCGCTGTGACACAAACGTTCCGTCAAAATGAACGACACAGACGAAAAAGTCGAGGACCGCTCCCTGGCAAAATTAAAAACCCAGCAATATTCTAGTTTCTGATGCAGCCGAAAAGCTGTTGCCCGGTGACAAATACGTGATGTCGGAGTCGGCGCTGAACGATTACTCCTGGCAGATGAATCTCACTGTCAATTCCCTGGAAAAAAAGGACTTCGGGGAGTATGTTTGCTCGTCCGTGAACGCTATCGGAAAAGCCGATGGCGTCATACACTTACAAGGTAAATCATAGCAATATACAGATTTTAATGTAAAAATCATTCAACGTCACATGTTAACAGCAGCTGGTGATCATTTATGCACATTAGCAATATTAAGGACATCAAAATTAAATACAAAATTCTACTTCACTTTCAATTACGTATATGCAGCAGCAATTAGGAATAAACCAATACAGAAAAGAAATATCGATATATACTTAGTACCGCATCAAAAGCATCGATACCTGTTTCTATCGAAGGAAAATGAATATAAAATACTATTTTATTAATATGATACATTTTAACCAGAGTTGAGTAGAGTTTTATTCGAATAATACATAGTGAAAAGCTGCAGTATTTCAGGACGTCATCCTGAGATTCAAATAGTTAATGTACGCACGGTGAAATAATTGTTTATCAAACGGCGACTCGTTCAGGAAGAAGAACTATTTTGTTGTAAAAATTAGAATTTTCACGTTTAAACGTTGGAAATGACGAATTTAATTATTGGAAGTCCTGTATCTAGATAATGAATTTGCCCATCTCTGATTTTAACACGAATATATTTTATTAATGATCATTTGTTAACGAAGACATATTTTATTAACGAATATTCATTAGCTTTCATATCGATTACTCGCTCTATTCGAAATTAGTACTTTTTTTCGATACCGAGTATATATCGCAACTGAAAATATCTATTATTTGCTTGTATTTACTTGGATCGGTTCACCCCTAGCAGCAATAGCAGCATTATCAAAATAAAATCAAATTTCTACTACATTTTCTATTATGAATACGTAATTCGTTCCAAAAGTAAGGAAACTGCATTTACGTAAAGCTTTATGTGTTATATTTTCAACAGTATTTTCTTCTTCGTTTTCTGTGTAATACCTATATAGCGTGTTGTATATTAACGTAATCTACATGCTTTTAGACTAAATGTTTTTCCAGAGTTTTACCAACATTTTACCCCATTGTAGTATTGTAATCTATTTTTTATACTTCACCGCAAGTGGGGATGCTTATCACAAGTAAAATCAGCTACTCTTACGCACATCCCTGTGAAGAAAGAACTACAAAACAAACATAGCGAAAGGGAAGAGAAGAAACACATAAAAGCAGTAGTTCGTGTAAAAAAAGTTTTAACTAGATACATGAAAATAAGCAGAATTTTTATAAAAATCACAAATTTACTTATATTATATTACCTATTCCAATATTACTTTCACAAATAAATGTTTCTTAGAAGCATTCATCTCTCAAGTATTTTAATAAAAATTTCATCATTCACGGTACCTGTGACAAAGAACTGTTTCGTGAGACAACCAACCCTAACCTGGGGGTTGTCATATATTTAATTATCCTAATTAACCACAAGCAAGCAGATATTTACATTGACACTACAATACTATTTTCTTTTTAAATCTGAAATACCTAGTTTTCCTATAACTATGAAGAAAATTTTTAAATATTTAACCATTATAAATCGTATTCATGAGTAAAGCGACTGCGATACACGATCATCTAATTGTTTCGAGCATCGTATACATTGAGTATCAATATTTGTATTCATAGCCGATTAATTTTCTGTTTCTCATCCAGAGCTGTACCCTTCCGAAAAAACGACTCCTAGCATTGTATCGAAGAACACCGATCTGAAACCCCGAAAGAAACCTCTACCAAAGGGAAAGAAAAAGAACAACGGTAACGGGAGGCGACCGCACGGGAACAGCTTCGACGATTTCGATTCGATCGGAAACGACGATGATCTCAGTCCCACGCAAATTATGGCTGGCAGTACCATTCACGAAGGGCACAGAACAGAAAGGCCACTTGTTTTGCCATCGTTGCCACCGCCCTGGGTAATCATAAATGCCGCCGATTCTAGGCAATGCTCGGTACCGATCACATTGATCGTACTCTTCTTCTCGTTCCTCATCTCGACCATGCTATTTCGTCTGTAAGAAAAAGAAACGCATCGACGCTGAAGCTGTTGAACGACGAAACCGACTACAACGAGCAACGAAGAAAATTGGTCGGGGATAGAATAAGAACAGACTGGAATGTTTGTATAAAAGTGACCAGATCTTGAAATGAATTCCATATCTGGTACAGAAATGTAGTTTGGCGTTTTGCAATTGGTACATGATGTTCTCAGTTGCATTTAGGTAAATGGGCTACATTTAAAGTTACGATTAAATCGGTGTTATCTTTATCCATCCTTTTCTTTAATATAATAAATTGGCAAATTTTACACGAACGATTTAGAAACACATTCTGATATGTCACAGTTCTTCGTGCGATGAAACAGACTATGAGATGAAGCATAAAAAGTACAGTACATCAATTACAATTCATAAAATTTTTGATATATGATTCTGAAAAGGAATTAATGTTAATTATAACACGTACAATTCTTTTACTGTAATAAAATATAGATTATTTTTGCCTATTGGTCGAGAAAAGCTTACAATATAGGTACATATTTACGTTTCATTTATTCAAATTTAAACGCATTCCGACCCACATAGGAATCAAAATTCAAGCTTAATAAGTGTTTCATTAGAAAATAAAATTAAATATATCAAAGCAACAGTTCTTACTTCTTTTATCAAAATTCACAATTTAAGAAAATGGTGAAGCCGATGTGATGATTTTTGAAAATGAAAACGAAACTTTAATAATTCAAAAGCTCTTTAAAAATAAAAAATTGCAAGGAACATCTACGATAAAAAAATTCCAGATAACACCTGCTTGACATTTTTCTTTCTTCGCAGCGTCTCAATTTTCAGCGTTCTCTTACAGAATCATTTTATTTCCTCATTAGCGTCAATATTCGCGTCCGAACGATCCATAAAAAGCAGAGCTACTCGAACAACATCGATCGATCTTTTTGAGGCAGCGTGTTGGTAAGGACGAGACTCGCCGTGATGGAATTCTCAATCTATCTGGTGTTCGTCACCCTTTTCCCTCGCTATCGGAATCTCGTCCGTGTCTTTCTTTTCCTCAACCTCCCGTCAACTTCGAATTCGCTGCGTCTCGTTAATCACCATCCAAGAAGACGTGTTCTTAAAACATTCATTAATCGTACGAAAATATAATCAAAGTTGAAGTCGCAAACTCGGAGAAATTTATTCCGCAAAAGGGAATTTAGTATCTTTAGCATCCTCCAAAAAGGTTGATCAATTCTCGGAATTGTTTAAGGTAAAACATCCCATGAAAAATTTCCTCAAAATTTATAGACGATTAAATACATTATATAGGAATTAGGTATATAATGCTGGTACTTTTCTTTATACTTAAGGTGGCTCCCGCAAATTTTTAATAATTATAAATTTAGTTGAAAATTTAACAGAACATCCTTAAAAGCTTCAACTTTCGATTGCTACCAAAAAATCGCAACGTTAATGATAAAATTATTGAAAAAGAAATGTTACAAAAATTTCTTTTTAACACCAGCCTTATGGAACTGTAGTTGATAGTGATTGTAAGAAGTTAATCACTTCTTATTTAGTTACAAAAAATGACACTTTCATAAAAAATTAGGTGGTTATTGATTTTTTTACGAAAATCATGATGGCACAGAAAAAAACATATTAAACTAAAGATTCAGATCAATCTATGCAAATTTAGGTTTCAATGCGTTTCGTAGTATCTTCTACGCATGTCGCTTGTTTTTCTTTGGTTTGTTCAATTCAACGAACTTTCCAATTTTTTCTTAGACAATTGGAACAAGTCTTTGTTTTTTTCCATTTATTTGTACATTTTTTTCCATTTAAGTATTTTGAAATAGTTTACAATATTAATCGTTTAAATAAAATTGGTAAAATTGATGAAAAGTATAAGGCGCCATGTGGAACCCTATCTAGATACGACACCAATCGTGGAAACTACCTTAATCATGGAATTCATACAGGCCGTAGTATCATACAATAGCATTGACCCTTATACTGTTGTTTGTTTATAATCATTATACTTTGATACATTTATCTCAATTCAAGAAATTATTTGCATAAAATTTTGTTTAAAATAAAATACAGAACGATGTCATATCCTGATACTTTTGCACGTCAGCGTATGTACCAATTTAAATTTTTATAAAACATCATTTAAAAAAAATACTTATTGCTACATTTTTAATAAGAGTTTCACAACCACATGAAATTCTTCGTATAATTAGAACTGTATTAACTCCGAAACTCATAAATAATACAAGCAGTTTATAGTTTATGAAAGGCGATAAATTTAATAAGCAACTAATTAATATTCGGAACACGTGAAACCGAACAATTCAACTGTACACGATAAATGGAACCGTACATTCCTTTGCCAATCTGTAGTCTGTGGCTTCGTTCTTGTGATATATGTATGTACAAATACCAGCAGTTCAACTTCCGTGCTGCACTATTTAAACTTTAAATAAACGGAAGAGCATTACACTACTGGCGACAAAGTACGGAAACCCACGAAATTTAAATTAAACCAAGTGTCTCAAGAAATATTTATTAAAAAATATAACAATTTTCATGAGCGCTAAAATTATGTTTGAGAAAATATTAGAGAAGTAAAATTAGATTTTGCCTGGTTACGTCCATGATACTATTTTCGTCTAAATCTTGTACATTTTTTCATTTTTAGGTTATTCTCATTTAAAAGAGAATCGATTGCAAATCAACATTAATGTACCATTGCGAAAGTCCAAAAAACATATTCTGATATCGATCGAAAAATATTGGTGTGCGTTTCGAGTCGGTAAAGTAAATAACGATCAATGCGAAATAATATATAATTATTTTGAAAAGGTTCACGCTTCGGGTGAAGTCTACGATGAACAAAAAAAAACTGGAGGGAGCATGAAGACGGGAGGCAAGTCTTACGCCGAGAAAAAGAAATATAGGTCTTCCTTTTTATTCGACTTAACAAGGACGTACTGTTAGATTGAATGAGATGGAGTCAGTGCGGTGCGACCAATACGAGGGATTTTATCTCGAAAGAAAAATTTTGTAAATACGTGAGAGTGATGTGTTAGCTGATACATATATCGTGCGACACGCGAGCTAGATTTTTGGCGACTGCGTGGAGAGCAACGAACGATCGCACGGACTTCAGGTACGCTAAGAAAAGAATAAAGTCTTCATATCGCGACAGTGTTGGGAAAAATTTAATCTCTATAGCTATTAATTACAGTTGTTTCTGTTAATTGTGAGTTGACTGAACTCGTTGATCTGACAACTTTTATAAATAATAAAATGGTTTTCGTTTTTACTTCGAATACGTAAATGAATTTTACAATGTACAGGATCTTTGTTGTTCAATGCATACTTTTCGGTGACAAGGATTTTGCTATTGAAGTTGTACCAGTTACGTATAACGATACACGTAATATTGTATTTGCGAATATTATTCTAATTGTTGTGCGTGATATGTCGATTTTTAACGTTGAGATTATCGATAGTGTTTTGAAAAATGATTTAGACCATTTTGAAGAGGACAGACTATCTTAAAAACGAATGCATCAATAAAAATAATAAGTGCAGTTTTATTGAATTTCATTAGAATAGTTTCATATTTTCTAGACAATCGAGTGAATTTTTATTAAACAAATTATTTCCAAGTAACGGAGAAGCAAAAAATATTTTCAGTAATAACAAATTTTTTTCAATCAATTATCTTACATGTTAAAAAACCTATGCGCTTTTGAGAATTCATTTTATGAAAAAACATTTCATGCGAAAAAACATAAAATATTAACTAAGCGTATAATCTTATGCATGTGACGAACAGAACTTCAAGTAATTATGAAATACTAATCAACTTGTACACAATTATGTATTGTCTACGTAAAGTAATTTAAGAAAGTCTGTCTTATAAATAAAAAACACTATATTATTTTTAAAAAAGTCTTCCGTAAATTTAAAGTTATATCGTATAAATAAAATCATCTCCACTTATATAATACCAAATGGATTAGTGTATTTGAATGTTTTTAATTTTAAAGTTAGACACACCGAATACAGCGTGGATCAGTAACAATTGCCATTGCCATTTAATTTCCGAAGTTATGACAATTTTAAAAATTTCTGTCGTATTAATGCTACACTGTCTAGATGCAACATGGCGTTTTGATCGTTTTGTGGATGGAAACGTTAAGGAGATATGAAATTCAAACTAAATTTCTTATCCCGAATCCTGTATTCTTATAACGCTACTCAAACCTCAAGACAATATTCTGGAATTCAGAATTTTCTGGCCAAATTTCGTCAGTCTGTGTTCTACAATTAAAAGTAACAAGAAACTATTTCACAACCATAAATCAAGCGAAATTTTATTAAAAAGTTATAAAAAAATATTAAATAAATAATTACAGGCCTGTTCTTGCTATTTGTATGTTACAAATTATGGCCAAAGTCGATAATCAACTTTATTCGAAGAACTTGCGTTTATGTAACATTTTTTTATTTCTATTTGTTGAATATACTGACAAACTTGAATTTACAAAACCATCGACAACAAGTGACGTACTAAAACAAATTACGTGCTTTGAGAGTTGTGGATCACTTTATCAGAGTAATTGACACTGGTCGAAGAATTCAATATAAAAATTTCGAACACGTTCGTCAAAATAAAAGTAAAGATTATAGAATGATTCCAGAGTAATGGATTTTTGTATTTTAACCTAGATTTATTAATTAAATCGCAATATCAAAACAGGAACCGCCGAAAGCTATATTGATAAACTTTCATTTTTGTAGATTCTGTAATTTTACATCACATAAACTTGCAATTTAAATGACTTAACAGATAATTCTTATTTGCTCGTTCAAATTTAATAAATGATATGTAAAATATCAGTGGTTTTGAGTACTTTTAGTTTATCGAGTGAACTCGATAAATTTGGCTTCTGAGGGGATTCTGTGTAAAAAGAATCATATGTAACTTTATATCTCGTTACTACATTCCTCTA